AGTCTCTGAAGAAGTAAAAGCTCAACATTATTTTGAAATGAAACTGTTGTTGTTTCCTTGTAAGCCTGTGTCTATCTGTTCCCTTCACGACTTAAGACTGGAGTCCTGAAAAGGCCTGAGTCAGCAGCTAGCAGGAGCATGCCTTAAAGCCTTAAATTACATGTTAATGCGGTGATGGAGAATCATCTTATGGCCTGAAGTACAGGATGGAGAGCCAGGAGACCTGGACTATTTTCCTGGCTTCTCCACTGACTTTATTCAATAGGTTTTTAATGGTCTGTCTTGGATTCTTTTGAATGGGGAGACCAAAATATATACTTTTAGGATTAGATCATTAATAAATCTGGAGGCTATTACGGAGAGGGTGCGAGGGGAGGAGTGAGCCCTACAATAAAGGGAATCACCAGCACAAACCAAACATCCTGCGAATCTAAGCCTAGATTTGTTCTTGGGGAGTTCAGCATGTGCAGCTTTCTTTGAGACTTGGGGAAAAAATGTGTCCAAATCTTGGTCACAGCAGCAGAGGAGTGGGTTTACTTAAATATTTTCCTTATTAAATTTTGTTATTGTGGCTTATAATGATGCTGCCATAAACGCGTGTGTGCAGTTGGCTCCTATCTGATACTGTCCATGTTTGCTTCTTTGAATGCTCTTAAGTGAGTCTGTTGCTGAATCATCAGTGCTCTAATTGAAGAGCAGGGACAGTTTTCTTTGATACTGGTGAAGTAGAACTAACGTCTTGGAGCTAAGGAGGGAGATTTCAGGAGGAGCCAGGAAAGAATAAATCCAGGACTCGTGTGGCTGTTGTGCTGTGGAGTGAAAGAAGCGGCATAAAATTCTCTGTGCTGCTTTATCAGTCAGCTAGACCGGTCCTGTGTTACTGCTTGTCTTGCCTCCCAGTGAAAACTGACCCAGACGGTATGGATGGATGCCTCTGCCAGAAGATGCCCAAGCCTCTCTGGTGCCGTAATTCCCTGCTGTCCCTCCTGACCAATCTTGATAGGAGACAGAAAGCTGAGAGCCCTTTTCAGTACTGCGATGCTGGGTGGCTTCCCTGGACGCTGCTGGGCACACCAGGCTCCTGAAGTTTTGCCATTGTGCCTGGGCCTGGGCTGCTGTTTCTTGTGGAAATACTAAAATATGCCTGTGTTCAAATTCCACTGGATTCTGCTTTTCCTGACACTGTGACTTAGTCTGAATAGTTTCTCTTAAGCACCTCAATAAACAAGACCTCTGGGTATGGAAGGTTTTATTTCTGGGGCGACGCAAACACTGTGAAACCTTTGTCTCTTAACGTTTGAATGTTTAACAATTTTGAAGCAGATGTTAATACGACCTGAAGGAAAAGCAGACTGTGGTTGCTAGTACACACTGCAGTGTTGTCTCCTGAAGCACGTAGGATTGCTGCTGTTCTGATCTTAGGGAGAATTCTTCCGGGATTCTCTTCTGTAGGTGGAATGGGACTAGAAGGGAGATTTCTGAATGTTTTTCCAGTACCTTCCCCTGGGCCCTTGAGGAGCCCCTCCTGATCCTCGCAGGATCCTGACAAAGATGTGATACGATGCTCTATGACCTGAGCACAAAACGTGTGTGCCCCAAGTCGTTTTCCTTAGTGAAGGTTCAGGATTGTGTTCATACAGGCTTGTTAAAATTCCTTTTTGCTAGTCAAACTTCACTCTGCGGAGTAGGGGGCTCTCAGGCAACCTTATCCTCCTTCACCAGGTTTTCTTCCGTTCTATGGTAAACGGTGGTTTTTCTTGGTCTCGCCTGACTCCAAAAGTCTCTAACCTTTTGGGGAACAAAAGCAAACCAGCCTGCAGTTGCCTTTTGGAGTGTTGGGGCTCCTGGGGTGTCTGACTCGGCAAGGCTTTGCCAAGAGTGAAAATTACACCTACTGTATTTACAATAATCTAAATTAGTATCTCCTTGGCTAATCTTGGTATCAATTAAAGTAACCTGGAAGTCTGTTGTGACCCTCCCCTCCAGCTGCTCATGGACCATGAGGTCTCCCAGTGCTGTGACTTTTTGAAAGGCTCTGGCATCTTGCAGTGGTCTGTCTGCTTTATTAATTAACACTTCAGGGAGTACCGCTCTCAGCTGGTAACTATTACATCCTGCCTCTGAATGGTTTCCCCAAATTGTTGTGTCTTTTGGCTGAAGTCCGTCAGTAAAATGACTCGAGAGCTTTGGTTTGAATAGAAAGCAGTCCTGGAAACTGGAGTTGCACAGCTTTTAGTTATTCCTTGGCCTCTGATCACGAAAGACCCCTGTTAACCTGAGCGCAGGGCTGACTGCTGGCCATTGTTTGCCTTGGCACAAGAGGGATGAGTGAAACATGCTGACCTGCTGGTTACATGTTGTTTGTTGATCCTTTTCTTCTGTAAAATATTCTTATTTAGTTTACTATTGAGCTTTCTGGAGTATCATAAAACAAAACTGTAACCTAGAGGGGAATTTGGCATATTCTGTTAATTACGTTAACATGCCGCCTTATCTCTTGAGAGCTAGAGGTCCTTCAGGACTCGACTGTAAGGCTACTCACCACGCGTTATCTGCCTTTGCCTTACATCCTTCGAGTGGCTGCCTGCTACACAGCAAGACCATCCAGATGCTTCAGAAGGTCCCAGCAATATATAAATAGCAGTGTATTCTTGTGTGTGTGGGACAGCCATGGGAAAGCTGTAATGACTTTTTAGAAACCCGACTGTGTAGCTTTCAGCTAAGTCAGGGCCCTGCTACCCCTCATCTTGGTTTTTAGAGAAAGACTGTTTCAGTCCAACTTAGTTTTTAATTAATATTTGCTGAGGCTTTTAAAATCCAATTTATACAGTAGCAAGAAACAACAGCCACATAAAATGAAGTAGGTTAAAATAGATGTTTAAAGAAGATTAAAACTGAAAACCATATTTTTCTGAAGACCACTAGGCTTGCGGTTCTGCAGTATTTTTACTTATAACTAACATACGTCGTTGTTCTCTGTTATGATCTGACTGAGGGGGTTACTTGATTTTTTTTTTTTTTTTTTAATACTGTTCACGACAATTCTCTGCCCATGTGTTTATCCTCTGGGCTAAAAACCATCTTGTATCCATGAAAAACATTGTAAGGGGTTTCTTTTGAAATCAGTGCTAGCAGGTATTGAAGTCAGGCATGTCTGACAAGTACTAATGTGCCTTGACTCGGGAGCCTTTTATTTCCACAGAACACATGTATCCTGCCCTGTTGACTACATTTACTTTGGGAAATCCCATTTGTTTGCTGCTGGAGGGGAGCAGCCTTGTGAAAGCAGTTGTACTTCCTTCCTCTCTTCCCCTCCAACTCTCTCTGACGTGGGGCAGGACTTTATTTTATTCCTCTCTCTCAGCCTCACCTCCTGACCTGTAAAAAATCAAAAAATACCTCATTTCCATAGCTGTATTTCTCCGAATGCCAGATGAAAATTTACAAATCTCAATCTTGTGAATCCAGCGTGAAAGTACATGGCTCCTTGAAACCAAATGTTTATTTTCCAAGAATTTTTTGCTGCGTATTCCCCCCCGCCCTGATTTAGTTAGACCTGTTCTAAAGTCTCCCCTTGCTTTTCTTGTTTCTTCCCCTGATGTCCAACGCTAGACTTTTAACCCACGTGCTTCTATTTCATTTGTCTATTCCTTAGGCAAATGCCTTTCATCCCCGGTCTCAAAGCACTTCTGTAGGAAGCTCATGATCACCGGCCCTGTTTAGCACAAGGGGAAACCGAGGCACAGCCCTGGAAGTGACCTGCCTGAGGTCACACAGCAGGTCAGTGTCCTATCTGAGGTTTGAACTGATCGCTCTTGAATTTCAGGCTAGTTGCCTGGGATTTCCGATACATCTCCTCATTAAGCAGCTTGAAAGGCTGGTTAATGTGTTTCGCTGTCTTCGTATGTGTATGTGATCTTCTGGTCATTTTTTAGGGGTAGCTAAGACCTAGCAAAAATATTGGAGGATTTTAGTTTCTAGACATCTGTTTTTGGAGCCAAGTCTTTCCCCTTCTCCCTCCCCTTTGGTGGTTGCCAGGAAATAATGGAGCTTTAAAGGACTGGGGAGCTTTTTCCCACTGCACTCTGGCATTGCTTCATTTGGAAACTATTCAATCATCAACCCCCACGTGTGCTGCTTGACCACTCCATGTGCTGGGTGCCTGAATGAAGGCTGGGGAGTACGTGAGCGGGAAGCGGGCAGAAAAGGACCAGGATTTAAACTCTGCACAGCATCTGGAAGAAACTTCTCTAATGAGTCAAAAAGTTGCTGGTTCATACCTTAAATGACTAGCTTGCATAGCGATGCAGCAGTTGTATGACAAGTCAGTCCCTATCCAGACTTAGCAACCAAAAATGGGAGACCATTAGCCACTATTCCATCGGACGGACAAGGTTAGCCAAGACTACTTCTGCAAAGTGTCTGTGTGCAGTAACATATGTTGATTCTCTACAGATGAAACCAGACGTGCAGTGACAGAAATAAGTCTTCTATCATCGTATTGGGAAAACAGACTTCAATATAAATACCTCACTTCGGACCATATTATAATACGTTTCATTACCCTTCTGGTTTTTCACTGTTTAAGTGATGGGTTTGGCTTCTTTATTGAAGGAGGTATGGGAGAAAAATGGTTCAGTTCTGTCCTCGTAGGATTTGAACCAAGGTTTGCCGTAGCTTGCTGGAACCACTGAACTACTGGATTTGCAGAGAAATAGGAAAATCAATTGTTAACACTTGTGACCTGTAGAATTTTGCCCTGGGAAAAAAGTATTTTCCAGCTGAAACTATTTGGCAAATTGACCTAAACTTAAAAATTATTTTCATGGGGTTTTTTTTTCAGTCTGTTCTTCCACCCCACAAGAAATAATTTACTTGACTTGGGTTTTTACAGGCGGCGTTGGACATAGTCTCTTCCATAGCTTTATCCCCCTGCTGAAGCAAGAGATATAAAGTCCATGTCGTTACCAAGCCTTATTCAAGCTTTCCTTTCATTTCAGGACAGCCACACAGTACCTACCTGCACTGATTGGCAGCTGCTAGCAAGAGGACTTGGCTCTGAGAACTGTGAGCACTGAAAATGGAAAGATTCCTGGGTTTTACCCATAACCACTGTTTTGTCATGCTGTTCTTCATCTCCCTGAGCCCGCTGGGCTTTGCTCAGTACGAACACTGGCCCTACCTCCCCGGTTACCCTGAGCCACCTCCACAAGTGTACCAGCCCCCCCAGAGACCAGCAAATATTCCCAAGATCCAGCTGCGGCTTGCAGGGCAGAAGAGAAAACACAACGAAGGCAGAGTGGAGGTGTTTTACAGCGGCGAGTGGGGCACGGTGTGCGACGATGACTTCTCCATCCATGCTGCGCACGTGGTCTGCAGGGAGCTGGGCTACGTGGAGGCAGTGTCTTGGCTACCGAGCTCGAAGTATGGAAAAGGAGAAGGTAAGGTAACTCCAGAGCACTGGTATTGTACTAGCTGTCTCTCCAACCCCCAGTGATTCTTGACCTGTCAGTCAATTTAAGATGTAGTGGTATTTCCTACAGATGTAATGGAAGTAGCTTCCAGGTGAAGCAGTGCCTCTTGAAATCAGGGTCCTGTTAGATTAAACAGTTTAAATACTTAAACAAGGTGTTTGCTTGTTTTGACTGAAACAAGTTAAGGAATGACGAGGTAAAGAGCTGAAGGACCAGATCACGATGTGTGAACTCTGGCAGGGGATGCTTGGGAGCAGCTGGCGGTGGATAAGGGTAGGAGGCTCTTCAGCAGCCAATATGGCTCCCCCAAAAGGGAGCGGCACCCACAAGTGTAATGTATAGACGGTCATTTCCCTATTCATGCTTCTATTGCCTTGCAGTGAGTCAAATAGGGCCTCTAAACACTCCTTCCCCCTATTCTTTTTTTCCTCTGAACTGTTTAGGGTCTAAACAGACTGCCTGTGCAATGCTACACAAATTTTGTCTCTTTAGAAACGCATGCATCATATTCTGCAATGCAGACTAGCCTGTAAAACCCCAAAGGAGTGTGCACACTTCGTGTCCTATATAGGACTAAATTTATAATAATCCTCTTTGACACTCTCAGGCTGTTTGTGGTGGGGAAAAGCTATTCACCCTCACCCCGAATTGTACATCCTTTCCTGCTCTTTGAAATGATACGTGATGGATGTGTGGATAACTGCGCATTGCACCTTATTGCACCTCATTCCCAAATACGTGCTGAACAAAGAGTTGGAAAGATGAATGTTTGTGTGTTACAGCAATGAATTCTTAAAATCACAATGCTTGAGAGAGAATAGCTCTGTAATAGTATATAACTAAACAGATTTAATTGTCATCTTTTGATATGCTGTTAGTTAAATGTTGACCTACGGAGAATTTTTTCTGCGAACATTGAAGCCTGGCACACTGTTGATGTAACCCACAGACAGATTATTTCCGCTGCAGCAGGGATGAACGTGCTGTATGTCTGTTACTTAGCACCGCTCGTTAGTGCTCGCATCTATAAACTGGCCCGTAACAGAGCAAGCAAGCGGGCCTTAACAGTGACTTGACTGAAACGCGAAACCTTGAATGTTGTCCCAAGCTGTGGATTTTGGCTCTTGGGGTAGAGTAGGAGATTTCCGAGTGAGAAAGAGGCCATGACATTTGAAAACAAACCAGAAACTGATTGCCGTGTGATTTAACGGGAGTGAGTGTTCTCTGCACGCCAGAATAGCGCTGGGTAAATCCTGATGCAGAAAGCCCGTGCAGGGGGCATCGTGCCTTCCTCAAATCCTAAAGCCAGGCTTTGCAGGAGCTCTTTCTGCTCTCCTGTTCGGGGAGCACCGAGCGGGCTGGCAGATCCATCATCTGGTAATTAACCAGCTGAACCTGTTGGGGCTGCTGGAACAAAGCTGGGACAGCCAAGGGAAATAGCTACAGAATCTCCTAGTGGCTCTGAAGGTCAGGCCGGTCCTTTCTGTCCAAAGGACGTGTTATTCTTCAGACAAGCAAAGCGTTTGGGATCCTAAAATATGGGAATTGCTTGTTGGCCTTGTTCCCTGTGATTTAGGGGGCAAATCACAGGGAGCAGTGTGTGCCCAGCACATTTCCAAAGGGAAAATGGGCATTTCATAAAGGTGAATCTCAGAGGTGCTGTTGGGTCTTCTGCTCTCAGCTGCTCCTGGGAAAATGACCTAAAGTTTGGGGGTGACACCTATTGATTTTTGTCTGCTCATCTTAGAAGTGAGTTCTGAGGGACCTGATTTGTTAAAATATAATATATATATGTATGCATGTATACATGCATACTCATGTGCATATATGCACCTAGTTTTTGCTGGAGGGAAAGTGGTAATTACAGTCTGGAAACTGGATCTGGCAATTGGTTTTCAAAGAGCACCCAAACAACAAGAGGTTCCAATCAATAGTGGTTTGTTAAAGCTTTTGTAAAAATCTGCTTTTAGAAAGTTAGGGCGTCTAATCAAAATTTGGAGCTGTCTCATACAAAAGATGTAAAGAGGATTTGATAAAAGAGAAATGATATGAAGAGAAACCTTAAATACAGAAGGAATGACTTGGTGAGTAGGATTAGAGGGCAGGGTCTAATCAGCCAAATCGAGGGGACCCAGTGACACTGCGTGCTCTGAAGTGGCTGTCATCAGAGGAGGTCATTTACCACTGTGAGCAGGATGGCAGCAGAGATCTGCTTCAGGCTGGTGGTGGTTTTTCTTTTATTACCATGCAGATAAGTGAAAGGAAGGCTGTGGGGCAGAGCTGTTTGCAGTTAGTAAGTACTTGAGGTGGATCGTTGATGTTCCTTAGCTGTTGATTCAAGCTTATTTTAGCAGTAATCTCCTCCCCTGACATAGCAAGTAAGGCTGCTGTGCTCTTCCTTTCCTATCAGCTATCGGTACAATCTAGATTTATCCTCTTTGTGAGTCTCGGTTCTATTTTCTTTCCCCTTCAGGGAAAATTTGGATGGACAATGTCCACTGTAATGGCAAGGAGACCACCCTGGCAGCATGCACTTCAAATGGCTGGGGAGTAACCGACTGCAAACACACCGAAGACGTGGGAGTGGTCTGCAGTGAAAAGAGAATCCCTGGCTTCAAGTTTGACAACTCATTGCTTAACCAAATAGAGGTAAACATACTTAAAATTACAAGCCTGCTGATCAAGAGCCTTTTGCGGACAGGGATGTCTGCTACTACGTGTTATAGGATATCCCAGCTGCACGCTCTGGTTAAAGCAAACTCTTGATAATGCTTCTAGATGCTGGCTAAAGATGCAACTTTCAGATTTGAATTTCAGCTGTTCAAAGCATATGCATACAATAAGAATTTGAAAGGGTTTTTTTATTTTTATAGCATAAGAATAAATAAGGAGAAAATACATTATTCCTGTTCCGCAGTCACTTTTCAGAATTGAAAACTGGCTTATTGTATTTCTAAGAATGAATATTGGAGAGACAGGATATGTGCTGTACTCATAGACCTTACACCTGGGTGACTTTGTTGGTTCATAAGTACTAAATTACTGAGTTTTCTTTCCGCTGACCCCTCCCTTTTGGTACTGGGAGCAATTTGGAGATCTCTGGTATAACAGTGGGGCTCAGCAGGCAGGCTTGGATTTGGAGGTGAATAGGGCTTATAACCATGGCTTGAAATGGGTGGATTTATAAGGAAAGCTATAAAGACATTTTTGCACAGTTTGGCTAAGCAATGACGAAGTAACCATGATAACTGTATGAAAATATTTGCGGGTATGGGGGATTAGTACTGGAAGTGATGAAAGGCATTGAAGAGAGGAAAATGTGGGCTGGTCACTGGGGGAAAGGTTCTGCATTGTGGCTGGGTTAGACTGCAAGGCTGAGGTTGAGACTTGGGGAAGTGAGAGAAGCAAAAAGCTTGAATCACCTTCCAGTGGACTTGTTAGATTTCTGCAGAATAAAGAGCTGGGGAAATGCTGGGCTGGAAAGAAGTTGGGCTGAGCTCTTCAAAAAAAAAAAAATGGGGGGTTTTTTTTTTTTTTTTCCTTCAGCTTTTCAGGTTGGAAAGTATTTGTGGTGACTCGGCTAACATCTCCCTTGTTTTGGATGCTCTAGTGTTTCAGTATGAGAATTCAGTGGTTGCCCTTGGTCAAAATTTATCGAAAGAGCCTATCCAGTAACCACAGACAAATCTTATTTTAAGCAGACAGGGAATCCAGGGTGTATTGCATACCACAGTGTGGTTTCCGTGGCTGCATCTTGGCTTTGTTCATGATCTGAAACAATGGATACAACCTTTTTTATCGCTTCAAAGCAAAATTATTCTAGCAGTTACTTCATAGCCACTGATTTAGAAGGGGTCTCCCAGCATTTTCTTCTACCAAATTTTTCCATTGGAGGTTAACGCAATGCAGCATACTTGACAAGGGAAGATAATATGCTCAGTCAAACCTTTCATTGCCCTGCTGAGGTTTAGGAAGAACACTGTATGGGTGAGCAGGCAGCATTCAGCACTTTCATGGAAGGCTCCCGTGGAAGGGTGCAGATATAGGTTATGAGAGCTGAAATTCTTTTCGTTGCCTTGACCTTGCTTCATTTGGCTAAGGAGGGAAAGGAGGCTTTCTGGAGGGATCTCAAGCTGCCTCCATCAATGGCACTGTTGTTGCTCGGGGAATGAGGCGAGATCATGGAACATCAGCGATGGCTTTGGCAGACGCGTGCTTCCCCAAAGCCACAGTGAATCCTCAAAACAGAGGCCTGGAAGAAAAGATGCTTTAGTCTAGACGGAGGTCACTTCGCTCTGAGATGCTTCAGATATTAATCATAAAAGCTTTGGAGGGCTTTGCTTTTCCATTAGCTAAGCACTGGAGGTTGACTAATGGGTTGAACACATTGGGTAATTGAGGGCTAGCTTGTGCTGATGCTGTGTGGGTGCTTAATCTTCACATATGATAAGTAAAATGAATAATGAGATTGAAGCAGTTCATGTAGCAGAAGCCTGACTCACCAACAGGATCACTCAGGAGAAATAGGTGTAAAAGAAGGCATATTCCCCATGTCCTGGCAGCTATGTGTGGATGAAGGCATCCGCTGACATGACAAGTAACAGCATTCACAGCTGTTGCTAAGGGGCACTGGTGACTAAAGACACTGAACTGGTGGGGGAAAAAAGTAAAATAGAAGAGTAGCTTTATTTTTAAGTACCAGCACTAAGCTGAGAGCTGTCAGCCTGGCTGTCCCTGTGACTTTGTCCTGGTGGTAGAAAATAGTGTTGCATTTTCTGGGCGGTGGCTGCTGTCACCCCCAGCTCTACGTGTCCGTGTCTGTGTGTGCGTGCTTCTCCCCTCCCTATCACTGCTTGAATTTTATGAACAACTTAGTACCATACTGGTGCTTCTACTCCACAAAACCAGGCTGATTTTTCTTATATCCCTATAAGATCACTGGCAACTGAAGGTTGTTTGTTTTTTTTCTGCTGGTTTCGTTGCAGCAGGATTAAGGCTAAAGGTGATGTGCTACAAATTTTTAAAATGCCATTGTGGAAGTACTTTTCTGTCGCAGCTAGCTGTCAAATGTTTAAACTCTTTC